GGAAAGAAGGCTCGAGTATCTCTACTATTTACTATTTTGGTAAATCTAATATAGTGCAAGTCTCGTTCTAGAGAAAACTATTGCAGAATTTATTCGTATCACATCGAAAATAATTCTTTAATACTCATTGTTTTAATTTACATAGTCGACGACTAACGCTTTTTTGGTTCATCTCTTGAATTATGTTTTTATTTATATGATAATTCGCATAAAATCACATGATATTTTTCTTCGTAAATCCAATCTCGCAAACCTCTAATTCTACTGTATTGTATGTACTCGAATACACGTAGTGGCACGAACTTGACTATATTCTAATACAACTCAGTTATATGCCATTACATGGAGATATAAGAGCTGTGTGATTGCTTGTTTGCGCTGTGGAGTGTGATAGTTTTCTATAGTATATTTTGTACTGGTATTTGTGCAGCCTTCTGTAAAACAGAATGGCGAAGAGTACGACTTGAAGCTCGCTGTATGTAATAGCTAGAAAAACTATAAATTAGTAGAAGCGAAATTTTGTACTGTTGAAAGATTCGAAAAATAATTGTCAAGAGAAAAAATTTTTCGATTTTCATTATTGGAATTTGAAACTACCTATTAAAACTTTTGGTCATATATCAGCTTGTAAAAAAACTGCTATAAAAAATATATTAGATATGTTCATTCTGTCGTCTTCCGATAAAATACCTTAACTATTGTTTTCCTATCATCCTCAATTTTTTTCATGAAATCATGTAGCTTCTGAGAAAATGCTTAGTTTCACTTTGATAACTTCGCAAAATGGCTTACAGGTAGGCATGCACCAAATCCTCGTTCTAAGTGATAAAGATGACTCATTTTCGATTTCAAGAACAGTCAGTTTCTGTCAAACCTTCGGGTGCTCTCTACTCAACTTTTATTGCTCTATCTGATGCTTGTTACAGATATGTTAAATCCTACTATAAAATATGCAGGATTCGACCAAAAACCGTGAATTTTCGGTCAAATTCTGCATATTTTTCAGTCGGATTTGACATATCTGTAACAAGCATCAGATAGAGCAATAAAAGTTGAGTGGAGAGCACCTGAAGATTTGACAGGAACTGACGGTTCTTGACATCGTAAATGAGTCATCTTTATCACCTAAAAACAGGGTTTGGTGCATGCCTACTTACAGGATTAGCAAAAATCTGCTTTGTTTACCATTCTAACCATTTTTTCAGAACTTTTGAGCGCAAAACTTCTGGTTCCAATCCATAATTTTTTATTGTTGTAGAATACTTTCAAAATGATCAATAATGAACGAAGAATATTCCTGCTTCTCTGTATGATATGCTGCCTAGCGGCACATTCAATAGTCTGATATCTTCCCGCCAATTAATACCAGTTGTATCTCTGGACAGTAGACTGGTCTGACGCCGAGTTCTTGCGCTCCTCGATCCACACTAGCTAAACATGAGAGCAAGCATATATCAAACGTATTCCGCATACTATTAGATGAGTAATCCAAGACAAATAGCTGCTAGTGATTTGTCCAGAGTCATTCCATAGCTAATGGTACTGAAGTTCGAACAACGTAGCCCGACCTGAAATGCTGAGAATTCAAAGCAACATATTCGTTTAACTTTATCAATTTCAGCAAACGTGGTTATAATCTGTTAGACAATGAGACCATTGATACATGAATTTCAATAATCATTGTTCATAGAATATTGAAAATCAAAATTTTTGTTTTAAATAATTCTTCTTACCTTTCAATAGCTTCAACTTCAATATTAGAAAAGAAGATCATCAATATTCGCATGCCATTTAATATATTCACATGCAAGTATTGATTGTATTTGTGCTTCTTGTAATGTTGAGCTACAACCAAGTACATTAAAGATCCTTTCACCATTTATTGTTTTACTATTTGTTTCACTTGTACCATTATTATTAACATTAACATCTGTTTGATAATCTTATATTTTAACTTTATGATTTTTTTTTTTGTTATTGTTAATACAAGTTTATTTGATACCGCTAGGGAATTTTTGTTGATGTTATTATTATATTAAGAGAGTGACAACGACGTTTTTTCTTATTAATAGTAAAATAGATACTAATAGTGAATCAAGTTCATATTGAAGAAGTATATCAGATTCATATAATGATAAAAGTATTTCAGCTTTGGATTCTTTAAATGTTGATGAATAATCAAGTAAATAAATTTGATTATAATTTGCTACTTGTGTAAGTAATTCGAAAACCCAATAAATGACGAATTGTTAGTGAACATCGAAGTGTTCTTTCAACAATACGACGACGAATATAAGATAATTGTATTGATGTTAAATATGGACATGGACTATATGCACCCAAACGTAATGGATCTGATTATATTATTGGTAATTGTGTATAATCACCATTACTGGCAATATATAAAATACATATTTGATTATCGTCAAGTGAATAATCATATTCGGCAATAATTGATTGATTTAATTTACCAAATAGATGACTCTAAAACTAAGAAATAATGTGTTAATTAGTTTCCTTTCAAATTAAATAGTACATATACAGATTATTGATTGAGTTTAGGGACATTTTCAAAATAGGAAAAACTCAGATGCTTAGTGAATATTTAGGTTTGAGTTTTATTCTGATATAATTTTCATGATCACTCGCTCTTTTAAGATCATCCTCCCCTCAAAATCGATTTTGGATTACGAAAATTTCGATCGCACGAAACTTTCAGGATATGTTGAGGCTCTAGTAGAGAGTAGAACCCATGGTCCTGAGAGATATGTAGGATATCCTAGTTGTTGAATCTAAATAAACGAAAATAAGTATGTCGTACGTTCGAAGCGACTATCAAGACGAATTAAAAAATTCTATTGAGAACATTATGAGTACAGATCTGGCCTGGACTCTAGCAGAAAGACTAGCGTCAAATTTTCAATTCGATACTATGATATTTGCATGAGATATTCATCAATCATGAGTCAAAATAAACTAATTTGGCAACCCGAAATTCTTGGCGTAGAATTTCATTCGATATATTTATTTAAGAGAGCACATCAAATTGCACGACCAGGCATACTCTTTGAAACAAAAGAAAAATAGAATGAAATCCTACAAAGAGAATTTTCAGATAACAAATAAGCTATTTTTGATCCTTGTTTGATAAATATCTTCTGAAAACATGGTGGTATCGAGCAGAAAATTTAATTTAATTTGATTGTTCTTATCCTAAAATCAAATTTTCAGAACAAACCTCAACTTTATGATTCGATCGCTTTTCATATTTATATCTGAGCCAATACTGTAAGTCAGCTCAATTGATACATAAACTGCGTACTTTATACTTTGAGTATGCATCTTTTTTCTTCTTCACAATTACAAAGTATTTTTTGAATATAGCATACAGAAACGGGAAATGACATATTACACTGTTTATTTCTTAATTATAGAACTATAGATTCAAGTTTCAATAAACAATGTACTCGTGCTTCCACGAAAGATTAAAAACTTTTAATTTTATTATCCCTCTTGACTAGTTTTGGTTTCATTCGTAAAACTCAGCTAATTTTAAACGATCTATTAAAATTCTTTCCATAAATGCGCAAATAAACATAAATTATCTTATTTCAATCATGGTATAAGCATTTCTTTATCCATAAATATCTGAATGGAAGAATAAATATGTAACTAGGATGCAAACAGAATTATCATTGATAAGTCTAATTTTCCCATCACGATCTTTCAAGTTTTTGCATGCTAAGATTATGATGATAACTCAATACAAGTAGACGATTGTCTTTCTACAATGGCATGATTAAACGAAACGGTTATGTATCTCTAGAGAATACATAAAAAGATAATATTAACATATATTGTTAATGAGTTTCATGAAACTAGTTGATAACGACATTTCAATAACTATCATACTATGATGATAATGATAAATATGAATCAAAGAATAATAGATTAATCACCGATTCATGCAGGATAAGAATCATAATCAACTAGAACGTACGAATAGTAACTCACGAAGATTGCACTTAAACTGATAAATCGCTTTTGAGCCGAGAGCATGTTCATTATGTAGACTTATATGAGCTATGAATAATCTCAAAAACAGAGTCCGTGCCTGTAGAAGTACTGCACTTTTCGAATAAATGCCGTGGTAGAAGAAAAACTGATTTTTGAATTTCGATTTGAGATCAAGCCTTAACGAGAGTAGTTTATTGTGAAAGTTTCAGGACTTTTGCTTTGCTCCTGTCCATAAATAATGGCATCAAATATGCCGGTTTAAATGGACGATATAAAAGAAACGCTATTGCCATAGTTATATCTTAAGATAAAAACAGCGACAAAATCTAAAACATTCCCAATAAACAACTTATGCTAAGGTCTGTCTTAAGTTGGAATTCGAAAAAAAGTTTTTCTGTTATCATGGCATTCATTTAAAAAGCACGGTAAAAGCAAGGTATCTTCGTAAATATAAGCCAAGAGCACGAGAGGCTTTAGTTGACTGACAAATGTGTAAGGTGGCTGATAACTGAATGCAAAGCTGAAGAAAAGTACACCCTATTTTTGAGATAATTCTCCAATTTCGATTAGAATATTTTATTGATAATCGAAGTGTGGTTTGAACGGATCCGCAAACTATGGGCCCGACAGGCTCTAACGTAGCTTACAGTCAAACGTGATTCATCACTGAACCAGATAAACAAACTAGACAGGCGGTTCGACTATAAAGC